ACACACACACACACACACACACACACACATATACTTGAAAAATTAATTTTATTATTTTTAAAAGTCTAAGATTCAGTTCTGATTAATAAATATATGTATGAATATCCAGCTGGTCAGAACTCATTGACTTGTATGAAAAAACACCTGTAAAACGCAAAATACTCAGTTTAAGCCACTGTTTTAGTCATTTGAATTAGTTATCTATTTTAAATTTCCATAATTATAAAATTCACAAGTTCCTCAGCTTTATTTTGAACCATAGTTTGTAAAAATCGAGCAAGAAATAAGGAAGTTATAAGAGGTTTTCATCAGGAAGACGCCTCACAGTCCATTGACCTCCATTCATTTTGTTGAGGCTCCTCAATGCACAACAGAGCTCCAGTGTACGCACGTCCATGGAGCTAGCAACGCGCTAGCCACTCCCAATCCAGTAATATATATCAATGTTTTTAACCTTTCAGATTGCTTCTGGCTCCAGAAGAGATTTAAATGCCAGGGACTTTCTACCCAAGCTGCTCATCTCTGCTGTGACCCGCAAACGTAAAAAAAGCCTCAGCGCCCACCTGGCAGGCAGCAGCGCTGACGAAGACTCTGAGCACGAGCCCATCAAGACCACCAGCTACGATGGAGAGGAAGGAGGAGGGGAGGAGGCAGGAGGAGGGGGGGATGCGGGGGTCCACACCTGTTCTAAAAAAGAGAAGAGGCAGGAGCATGTGCTGCCAGCTGCAGACCCTGCTGAGGCCAGTGCAGCAGACACACAACCACACACCCTGAACTCAAGACCCCCACCTGCCACTAACACCCCGTCCCATCTAAGACCCGCTCGCCCCACCATCCCTTTATGGATCTCCCCCAGAAGACCCCCCACCCTGCACCGGGCCTCAGGCTCTCCCAGCACCCAGCAGCCAGACTGGAGCCAGGCTGCCCCGGTCCACTACAGGAAGACCAGGCTGAGGGCCACTTCCATGAACCTGGACCTGGACCTGGGCCTGAGTGAGGACAGGGTCAGAGGCTGGAGATCCGACAGGGTGCAGGTGATCCAGGTGAGTGAAGGACCGCCTCCTCAGCGTGGTCCAGCTCAGCCAGCAGAACCTCTCCCTCTGTCCTCGTCTCCAGGATGGTTGGGCTCAGGGTCCCAGGGTCTGTATTCTGTGGTGCTGAGGAGGTCTGCACGTGACCCACGAGACCAGAGCCGAGTGTGGCGCCGGCACACCGTGGTCGTTTAGTCAATGAGGACACGTCACAGCCTCTGCAGCCAGGTTCTGTCATGACGGGGGATCAGACCCCCCACCATAGAGATGTGCTCTAACTACAAAACTACCAGAACCATCCAGGACGTGCTGGGCTGGCTGCCTCTGCACCTCAGTGTTAACCAACAGGACGTTTTCCTCAACGATGAATGAAAAACCCCTCAGAGCAGGTCTTCAGGGGGTGATTACTCCTGACTGAAGCAGGTCCTCCTGCACAGGAAATAACAACAAACAAACAAAAACAATGCAACCAGAACTAGAGAATTTGCATTTCCGGCGAAAATGCTAGTGTGAATGCCTCTTCCTGATAACTTTAGCTCAAGAACAGCTAAGAAACAAACTGATGATGTCACTGAAGATGTCACAGCTGCACAGACAGCAGTAAACTCTCAAGCAACAGATTGTGCAGCTGTGACATCATCAATTCCAGCTTTGACATCATCAATTCCAGCTATGACATCATCATAACCAAAATTGTTTTTTGCAGAAAAAGCTGAATATCTCAAAAAGTTTAAAAGGTATCCATACCAAGAGATACAGCACACATCTCCTGACCGAGCTGAACGTTTTGATGTATAAATTGTGGAAATTGCACAAAAACTGCGGAACGAGAAAGAGTCCAAAAAAACATACGGAAGAAACAGGAAGTTTAATAAAGAATAAAGAGAAACATGAAAACAACAGTGGGAATGCTGGAGGCATTCACACAATGAAGAAGTTTCACATCCAGTCCAGTGTGCTTTCTCAGTTTAAAAAGTGTGGAGCTCCCAGCTTTCCCCTGCATGAGCCTCAGCTGGTGCATCTAAACTCACCTGTAGAGGGCTCACTGCCCTCCCACCTGAGGGCTGTTACAGGTCAGGGCAGTTCTGCCTCTATAAAAACACATGGCTCTGTTGGCTGTCCTACATTTCTTTGTTGTGTAAATTATAACCAAAGTATCTGTAAAATGAATACTTGTGTTAAAATATACAAGTTGCTAAAGCTGGCTTATGTGGCACAGAAAACAGAAGCAATAGCTTCCAAAACAACCAGGAGACACAGCAGCTAACATTGTCGATTTCACAAAACAATAAATAAATAAATAAATAAATAAATAAATAAA